TATAGTATTTGGAAACAGTTATATTTCATGTTCTTTCTTGAAAAATAAAAAGTTGTAGTTTTGTTCGCAATGTAGTTTTTTGGACATTTTTACAAACTAGTAATTATTCATATTTGTCATGACATAAGCTTTGCTCTTTGCTTTGCTTAAATGCATTTATAGTTCTGTTTTTTTTTTTTTTAATTCTTTCATAGAAACGAATATTTCTTAAAAAACTTTTGTTTTTCAAGAAGCTACTAGTCTTTTTTAAAACTATAACTATACTCCAAATTATAGCTTGTATGGGTTTTATGTTAAAAAACTAATAATTAAATTTTGGAAAGCTCTTTGTAACTTAAAACTACACATGAACAAGAGTAATAAAAAAAAAGATTAGAGAGAGAAAAGTTTCCTTTAATAAGGCAAACATATTTAAGCTACATATANTTAATTTTGTTATATGTGATAAAATTTGGTAATTGTTTTAAAATTTAGTAATTTTATCATGATACTGTAGAACAGTGTTTCCCAAACTTATGACTATTGTGTACCCTTTTTAAATTTTTCGTAACGCTCTGTACCCCTAGTAAAAAAAGGAATGCATTTTTTACTACAAAAAAATTGCTTAAAAACTGAAAATCACCACTAATTATTAACTGTTATCTCTGCAAAAAATAACTAGTAGAAAAATACGTAATCGTAAATTTTCATGTTTTTAAATAAATTTTTCTGAAATTTTCGTTTGTTGCAAAATATTTCGCTTTTCGCATTAGAACGCGTACCCCCGCTAAACTGTTCCCGTACCCCTGGGGGTACGCGTACCACACTTTGGGAAACACTGCTGTAGAACATGGAATAAAACCATTTATTCGATAAAACTTACTTTTCAGGTTTGTAACTTTTACTAAATGTGTAGTACTAAGAACTATAATTTCGCAAACCAGCATTTCCTGTAAATTATTACCATACACTGTTTGAATTTTCATATTAAAATTAGGGGCAGCAGTCTGTGAATCCAATTAACTGTAAGGTTTACGGTAAAGAATGTTGTTTACCTTTACGATTTTCAACCAATTTCCAACTAGTATGGTTAAAGAAGCCTGAATACAATACGATAGGGATTTTTAACCATTTACAACTAACATGGTTTCAAAACCTTAAATAATAAATGGCTTTATGGTGCTGTCATCTATGCATTAATGGTAGTATCATGTTTTAATAGTCCAGAGTCACAAATTGGAGTGCAAGATACTGAAAACTATTCATGTGTGTAGAAGTGAATGGAGGAATATTGTGGTGTCAACGCTGTGACTCGAACCACCGTTGTCTCGATCATGAGATCAACAAATCAGCCCTCTCGGTTGTAAGGAACTAAGTATTTCATCAAGTGGGCCTAACTAGTGCGATAAAATTCTGGTTACAAACCATTTTAGGTGAAAGCAGTTAATAAATGGTTTTACTCCCAGTTAACAATTTGAATACCATCTTATTTATGGTTATTTGATTGTTTTACTTGTATATGGTAAAATGACAATTATATAAATTGTCATTTAGGCATTTTTTTTAGAAATATCAAGCAATGTATGAAGGGGAAAATTATCTAATAAGTAGTTTAAATACTGTATATTTCAGTTTTATTATCCGGAATTATGTATTATTTTTACCCGAAATGCCATGACTATACAATAAGGTAATTTTACTAGAATTTTTTGACATGTAATTCTACTTTCTTGATGTTCTATTGCAACTAGTGAATGAATACAGTCATGCGTTCTCAAAAAATAATAAAAATAATAAATAAATGAATAAAATTTTAAAAAATAAATATAGAATCTAAAATGTTTTAAAAACTGCATTTTTACATAAAATGTTAAGAAAAACCCGATTTGAAAAGTATTTTTTCATGACTGAACTCAACAATAAATATCCACTAACATTTATACTGAATAACAAGGTTCTTCTATTGGAAACATGCTCATATTATGCACTTGCAAGTAGTCATGGTTCATAGTAGTCATGGGTCAAAATCAGTACTCGACAGCCAAATCAGTTGTTGATTTTGTGCTCTCAAGAATTATCTCACATCTTAAGAACATAAGCATGTTGTAACGATTTCCAAAAAGAGAGATTAATAATATGACTGAATCTCAAGATTTGTTTATTTTTTTACTTATTTATAACTTGTAGCATTTAAAATTAATCATCTTAATTATAAATAAAACAAGCACATTTCAAAAGATTGGATTTATAAAGCACCTGAATTCTCAACTCAGAAAAATTAGCAGCATTAACTGTTAGCAGAATTATTTTACACAGTTTCTTACAGTTTTTTTTATTTTTTTTTCAGATTATTACCGGTGCTTAACAGCCGATCCAATAAAGAGCTTACGACTAACAAGGCGACTTCTTAGTCTTGTAATTTTAAACCGATTCCAGAAGACAAGGGAACTCCTGGATCAATCATTGAGACAAACTAGCCTTCATGGAGGACTTTTTTATGAAACTAACCCACATTTGCATTACATGGAGAGAAAAACCACGAAACCCTGACACAGTTGGCCCGACTGATCCATGATCGATCTACCGCTGATGATATTTTATGCCAGCACTATGGTCCATATGAGTCAGGAGCAGAATACTTATCAACCAGTCAGTGCTAGAATTTGAACTTGGTTCACCTCATGGGAAGGCGACCATTCTATAATTGTAAGACAAACTAGATGTTATTTAAATGAAATAAGGCAACCAGAGAGAGTATCTCAAGAAATCTTATTTTACCATACAGCAAAAAAGGTAATACTCAAAATTTAATTAATTTTTTAAAACCCATCTATTGGTATTCGTAATTCGGATATCAAAAGGGCAGATGTGTTGATCACTCTTTCAGAATCACCATATTTGGTGAGCCAATGCCGCTCTCACATTAAGAAGGCCACCTAGTGCAGATAGAAGAGATGAAAAGTGCATCCATGCTTCTAACCAGGATTCGAACCCAGGATCTTTCAAACAAGAGCTTCCTTACCCCATGCAGTCCTTTCATCTTAAAATGTGAAATTAATTACGAATAGGATTAAGATCACAAATTTGAGAACAAATTGTGCAGCACCTGCGAACGTTAATTAAGAACTGATAATCTTTATTATCCATTTTAAACACCTTTTACATTCACACTAATAAATTCAAGTTCAAACTTATCAATTAAGTTCATTAACTAATCAATTAAATTATCAATTAAGGAATTAAGTTCAAACTCTGAATCACACTTTACTAGTAAAGAAGAAGGACCCTTCACATCGGCAAGTAGTTGTTGATTAATTCATGACATCTGTGCGGTTAGATTTGTTTAACTCCTTAATAATCTCTCGTTTTCAAGCTACTCGTATTATTGATCATTAGAGTAATAAAAATTATTTTTAGTCCAGCTTATTATACGTTTGCTACAGATTCATACCCTAATACAAATCAGTCCAATAGTAGAAGTGTTCTGTTTGTTTAGATGACCACTGCTGTCGGTGCAAGACCGGTTACCCCTTTAATGTGTGTCTATGTTGAGTCGACGAAGGCTGTAGTTCAGTGTAAGAAGAAGATAGTTACATCCAAGGCTGAACAAAGGTTTTAAGGGCTCCGGGGTAAAATTTATTGCGGACCCTTTTTCCAAAGAACAAAAAAAACTTATTTTAAAATTTTGTAGGACTTTTGAAGACCTTTAATACAAAATTACACTTTTTATATACATATAATATTTTTTTACAATTTTCGTTTAAAAAAAACTTATTATTAAGTACTATATTTTTTGATCAGTCAAGCCCTCAGCAACCCCTGGCAGCAGGAGATAACTGGGCCCCCTCCTTGCGTCCGGCCTTTACTATTTAACATATAAATTACATACATAATTTTCTTAAATTGAAATAGAAATGACTGCTTTTTTGTTAAAGTTCTACTATTTCTAAATTTCACTAAAAATTAACACGTGTACTCGATTTTACCCCACTAGTAAGGTAAGACCGAGTGATTTGATTTTTTCTAGAAAAAATAAAGCAGTACATCAATAGCTTTTCAGGAATGATATATTTCATTTTATTACCGTCGTTGAACAGTAGACCCAATTTTGAGTTTACGACAACCAATATGCAGCTCCGTGGCCTTGTAATTTTGAACCCAATCCAGAAGACAAGGAAACACATTGATCTATAATGAGGAGAAATTTGCCTTCGTAGAGGACTTTTTGATGGAACTAACCCTAATTTGCTTTACATGAAGAAGAAATCGTCGAAAACTACCCACGGTTAGCCTGACGGCAAGGGAATTCTAACCTAATATCCGCCTACCACTGTAGATATTTTTACGTCGGCACTGTGGTAGGTTCGAGTCGGGTGCTGAATTCGTATCGACCATGAAGGGATTTGAGCTCAGTTCATTACTCGGAATTACTCCACTTTCCAAAACTATTTGAAATATTTCGAAAAAGTTTGAAAAGAAAACTTTGAAATCCACTTCGAATTCACTCAAAATTTGCTTTTAAAGTCAAAGTGGAGATAGTAATGTGCATCTAACTACAAGTTTCATTTTCGATTATGAAAGTTCAAGTAGCAAATTCAATACGATGTCTAAAACTCTAACATAGCAGTTACTTAGAAATAATATTTTTTTTCTCAACACATTGATTTAGTAATTTGAAGTCTGTAATTACACTTCTGAGGCTGTATTAACCAAAATCATTAATGTGTAAACAAAAAAATACAATTCATTCCTATCAAAAAAAAATTTTATCAGCTATGTGCATATGATACAGAATCACCAAAATTCAAAGGAGCGTTTTCAAAATTGATTTTAAATTGATGGTAAAATTAAGGCAATAACAAATTGTGTGTTAATCTAAAACTCAGGCGATGAAATATGATCTTACAAATATCAACAATAGCAGTATTAAGGTCTTCATTTCCTCTTCATCTAATTGCAAGATATCATTTATAAAATGCCATTAGTAGATAGGAATAGGAAGTAGCAACTTGCTGCAATCTATGTTGGGACTCAACAGAATCTATATCATTATGAATATGGCCTTGGACATATAGAGAACGTAAAAAACAGCCCACTTTATTTCACTTCCCGCCAAATTGGAATATATAGTGCGTCAAAATTCTAAAGAGGGTTTAAAACTTCATTGTGATGTAGAAATCATTTTGTTGCCGCAACTATTAGTATTTCATACATAAAAAAGGTATGTTGAAAAAAATGTTTTCCAAGCAAGGCTTGATATTTCTTTTAATTTAAGTAGTTAATTAAGGAATTTACAATTAAATTTAAGTTTTATTTATAACACCCACGATTCAAATGATATTTTAATCATTATGTTATAATTTTATAATTTCAGCTGTAAGCTGTAATTACATAATATGACGAAATTATATGATTAAAAATATTTTAAAAAATAAAACTGAACCGAATTTTTGAAAAAATTGATTTTAAATTCTGACGAAAAACAATGCTAAATAAACTTCACTTTTATATGAAAAATGTAATATATATATGTAATCATATAATCTTCTCTCAAAGCTCAAAGTATTGATAGGAATTCTTTCCTTATTCACTCTATAGCACTCCAAATCAGTTTAAACTTATGATATAGCGTCAATAAATTTTAATAGCATGCAATATAATCCTACGGATTAAAATTCAGAGTGCTTAGAACCTTTTGACGAAAAGTCAGCTAATATACACATGTACAGTACGCAAAAAAAATGGACCATCCTCAATAACTTTTGTTCTAATGATCGGATCTTCACGTTCTAGGTTTCAATCTTAACGGTTTGAGAAGGTGATCTCAATTATGCTAATTAATTAGTGAGATCGATATTTAAAATTATGAAATCAGATTAAAAAACGTACTTTCTCTGAATAAACATACTTTTTTTCGACGGATTCGAATTTCTAACCACCAAAATAAAGGGATTAGCCTCAATCTGCGAAATATCATTCCCATACTTTAGTCAGGATAGCGGATCAAAATTTGCACTCCTTACTTTTTGCATATGTCACCATATCTCGAGAACTTTTCAAGTAAATTAAAAATTTTTGCACCTGATTATAAAATTTGTTTATCCGAAGATAGTACCATGAAAAAAAATGAATTTCAGTGAGTATTTGTTAGATTTTATTACTTTATTTTATGCTAATCGAAATTTTTTTAAATTTTAACGTATACAGTTTTTTATATCATCTTAAAGAATGTTATTTAAAATGACGAAATACTAGATTTGGGCGAAATCGGTCGAATAGTTTCTGAGAAATCATATTTTGCTAAAGTCATACTTTCAAAACTCGATTTCTCAGGAACTATTCGGCCAATTCAGCCATTTATTTTGCCGTGTAAAAATGCATTCTTAAAAATGATGTAAAAAATTTTATAACTTACAATTAAAATTTTTTTCGAATAGTATTAAATAATGTATAAAAAAATAATAAATACTCACTGAAATTCATACTTTGCATTAAATTACATGTGTCTAAACAAACTTTATAATTGTATGCAAAATATATTCAATTCGCTTAAAAATTTCTCGAGATATGACGAAGTAAGCAAAAATTAAAATTAACATTAAGGGGTCTAGAGTTTGGATCGCTCTCCTGACTTAACTATATTAACCTTATTTCAGATAACCAGATTGCGGCTGCCCCCCCCCATATTTTGAGGATTAGAAATCTGAATCCATCAAAAAAAAGGTATATTTATTCAGAGAAAGTACGTTTTTGTTTCTTATTTCTTAACTTAAAACATCGTCTGCTCTAAATTAGAATATTTGAGGTCCCTCTCTCGAACCTCTTTAAGGTTGAGTCCTAGAACTTATAGATCCAACCATAAAATCAAAAGTTGTTGAGGATGGTCAGCCTTGTATTTTGCTCACTGTGCATAGAATATATATAGAGATATACATATAGTATAATGGAGACTTATGTCGAATAAATAGTATGCAAAATAATCCGATGAATTAAAATTCAAAGAGTTTACAGATGTTCATCTTTTGGTAGAAAGTCAGCCAATACCAACGGAAGACACGCTTTACAGTCTACGAAAGAGAATAATCTTGTTAACATCATTAATATTCATTTCCATGAATAATTTAGATTTGTGTAAAAAAGAACTTTCTCCGCGTATCTAAATTAGGCAATTAAGAAAGTTTCAGCACAAATTTTAACTTTGATGATATCAATGAATACTTACTTAAAGAAAATACAATGACAATGATTAAATATGCGTTTTAAAATTAAGGTCATAATTTTGTAAAGCTTAGTTTGCTTTAAATCGATAATAATCACAATTAAACGATTTGAATATTATGAAGCGATTCCAAAACCAAAAGCTTCTTACAGGAAAAGTCATTATGCCATGAGAGAATGTTGTAACTTATTTGTATCTTCTCTGTCTTTATGCCTACTTCATTTAATGGTGTTTTTGTTCATTTAAACGCTTAACATAAATTTGCATAAACATCTAATACTTCACAAAATGTAATGTTATAGGTTATAGGTTATAAAATAGTAGAATTTTTTATATGGTCATTAAGATATAAAAAATGGACTGTATATATATATATATGTAATACAAAAATTAAATACTTTTGTATTAATAAAAGCATTAAAACTTCATTCGTTTTCATATAATATCTTTAGTAAAAGATAAGGGTAGAAATTCTATTTTGGAACTTCAAGGCTAAAAACATGCCAATGAATAATAATTAGATTTATACTTCAAAAGAGAAGTTATTTTAAGATCTTTCACTTCCATATAAGGAAAGATTAAACGATTTGCTATGAGTAATAAATAAATTGATGAGGCGTAAGAATACAGAAAAAGGCATATGACTGGGCCTCTTTACAACTAAAAATCATCCTATAAAATGCAGGAGCAATGTTTTTGCGTGACTNTAATGTAATTGTAATAAATGTTTATTTCAATTTGACATCGCTTAGAAGTGAATGACGTTATTATAATTTATCCAAAATGTGAACCTGAAAATGTGCATTGTTTGTGGGTAAATATAAATTGAACGATTGTATCAGTATTTTTAGAAGAGTATAATGCAATACTTTTATGAAAATCTTTATCATGCGATAAAAATTACTCTATAAAAAATTTAATCGTTCCATTTTTATAAAAAAAACATATTTTAGGCAAATTGAAGTTCTCATTTAAACTCAACTTTCATGAAATCTACGGAGCTTTAAAAGCTAACATAAATTGATCATATAATGTACTTAGAAAGAATTCCCTTAAAAAAAAAGAATTCTGCTCTTTAAAAAACAAATTTTAATGCTTAATTTAAGCAAATTTAATTAAAACAAGTTTTAATGTTTGAAACAAATTTAAGAGATTGATGAAAAATTGTTCGTGTTATATTAAGGGATTTAAGTCATAATAAGAGAATTGCTGGAAATATATTTAGAAAAGTATTAGAAATATATTTAGAAAATTGTTTGAAGTATATTTAAATAAGCTATATTCTTAGAATTCTTTGAATTATAGCATAAATTTGACGAGATCAGCCAATAATGGTTTTACAATATTTAGTTATATACAATAATTACTATAAATTATGTTTTATTACGTTGGACCACTTATTTAAATAATATTACCTTATAATTCTTTATCAGAATTTTTTTTAAATGTCCTCAATTATTTCGTCTTTCACTTTCAGGAAATCTATTTTGAAATATTCGAAAGTTTGTAGATGAGAGTAACTTCCTGAAATCTTAAAATATTGGCATAAATAAACCTATTATTTGTATATTGCTACTGAAACTCAAAGATATGCAGCAGTATAATATTTCACTAACTACAAAAAACTTTGTTTACTTTAAAGCTAGCTTTCACTAACTTTAAAAGTAAAACTTAAACAATAGTTTAAGAATGTGTTCCTAAATTATATGAAAATCTAAGTACGTTATTTTATTTTTAGTTGTTATATAACTCTGGAAACTACACTGTGAAATTTCTAGATCAAATTACGGTAAAAATTACCGTAACTCACGATTACAGTATTTTTACCTCAAAAACCATTTTTACTATAAAGTTTTACGGAACAAGGACTGCAAAATATCTTGATTTTTGTATACAGTAATATTTACTGTAAAATCACTAATTCATAGTTTTAAATAATTATTACTGTAAGAATTACGGTATAAACTTTGAAGGTAAAATAGGTTTTACAGAAGTTGCGCTCAGGTTGTCAATACTTTTTCAGTAATTTGACTCAATTTTTACATTGCATATCAAATTCAAGTTGATTGATCATAACCAATTAATTTTTAATTTAAGAATATTCTGAAGTTTCTTTTCGAAAAAATAATCAGTAATAATTAAATTGCTTCTGTGCAAATAATCAAGGAATAATTTTTAAAATTAACTATCGCACTTTTAATAAAAATCCAATTTATAAATATTGCCTAGATAAATGTATAATAAAAAGCATAAATAGATGAAAGTTTTTCTCTTGCAATACAAATGGCTATGTATATAGAATAAAAAGGTTTCAGAAATTCAATTGTAAAATATTATCTTATTATTTTTATTACTTAAGAGGGCAATAGGCTATCAATCATTTTTTTTCTTACTATAAGATAATTATAAAGTTATCATTTGAACAGAAATTTTATAATTTCATCATGAAATTTGTACTCCAATATATTAGTGTCATTGTTTCCTTAGAAATTTATTCCAGTTTCCCTGGTAACGTCCTTGTCCAGAGTTGGTGACTCATTTACGTGTCATTAACGTGAGTAGACACGTGAAAATGGGTTAGTTATACATCTGTAGAATATTTTCTAAAAATTAAAGATACTCAGACTGAATATTATCAACGAATTTTCAAAATAAAAAAACTGAAATGTGATACTTTTAGCAATGTATTTAAATTAAAAATATAACTACTCAGATAATTTGCATCATAGCTTCATAGTTGTAATTATGCTTTGGAGACAAACACTAACATGAAAATGATTTGCATCTAAATTACGAAAAATAATGTAGAAATTAAAACTATCTTGAATTATCGCAATAAATACACTGAGAAAAAAGGAAAGGTCAAAACTTCCGTAATATTTTAAAGTTTACTGTGCTTCTGGCTCCATGGGAACACCAAGAAGCTCGATAGTTTTCACCAAATCACTTTGATAATGATTTTGGTAAAGTTAACAAATAAATATGGTTTTATAATGCGTGAT